AGACTAACAGAAAAACAAAGAATGTCCGGCTGTCGTAGACATGCGCTGTTAATCGGGTTCCTTCCCGCCGTTTTCAGCTATTTAGAGTGGGTGAAAATCACACCAATGGCAAAATTTCATGAGAGATTAGAACCCATCCCGAAACCCCAGCCGACATTTCCGAAACAAGTTTTAAACGGTTTCTATGGTAACGGAAATTGTCGAAAAGATAGCAAATTTCCGGATCTGTGGTCCCTAGAAAACTGTTGTTTGATGTATAGTATTAAATGTTTGAGTACCGATAACTGATAACTACAGCGAGAAATGCAGTCGTGAGTCTGTGACTATAATATAATAATTATAATTATTAATTAATAATGAATGGAGCATCTTGCAACAAGAAGGCAGGCGTTTTATCAAAACGAAACAGCCACTGTAGTATAGAACCTTTTCACTGTGTGCCCCTGAAGGAGCTTTAAAGCATTAATGAAATGTAAACGCTATTGACACCGAAAAGGAGGAAGTCATGATACTGCAGCTTTAACCCCTTTAGTAAACTTGGGCTATCTTCCGAATTACGATCCCAAATTATCGAGGCAGAAAATATATCCTAACAGGGCCTCAGTCACTTGTCAATTGCGCACTTCTGGGGACTATACCGCAACCGCCAAATTGCGAACTACGGGGACTATACCTAGCTACTTGAGTAAAATTTTTAAAATGCCCTCTACACCAATAAAACCAGCACAGTTAGATAGCTGTAAACAATCTCTTTCCAATGGTACCTCATTTAGGCTTGTATGTCATTTCTGAGCTGAGATATGTAGGTTTTTGTGGAGATGAGATGTAAGAAACAGCCGCTAAAACTTGTGACCCAGAAACAAGAAGTTTTTCTCTGCGCAACCTACTGCGCAGTTCTATATCGGCTTTCATGACATTGGACTGTCATTGGACAAGATGGCAGGCAATGAGACTCAGCTCACTCAGCCGCATGCGATTGCCTAAAAAATGTCACTGTACATCTACCTAGCCACGTACCAGAAAGAAATTTTATACACAAATGTAAAATTGGACGGAGAATTCAATTATAACTAGCATTACCAGGTACAGTAACAGTTGAAGCCTAAAACCAACCTCGAATTTACCGCTATTTTCAATCAAACTGATGACTAACAGAAAAACAGAGGACATCCGGCTGTCGTAGACATGCGCTGTTAATCGAGTTCCTTCCCGCCGTTTTCAGCTATTTAGAGTGGGTGAAAATCACACAAATCGCAAAATTTCATGAGAGATTAGGACCCATCCCGAAACCACAGCCGACATTTCCGAAACAAGTTTCAAACGGTTTCTATGGTAACGGAAATTGTCGAAAAGATCTCAAATTTCCGAAACTGTAGTCGCTACTATACCGCCACCTCTAAGGGTATCCTCCACGCTGCTAACGTGGCGTGGATTGGGGCTAAACTAGATGGCTGGGACTCACGAGCAAATAAAATCAAGGCTTCTTCTTCTTCACTTCCTCTTTTACCGCTGTGGGTGTCGAGGGAGATATAAGGTTCTGTTTCTAGCTCTTCTGGCTGCCTCGACCATAGGCACATCGTGCTGTTGTAGAGTTTCTCTGATGTTATCCTTCCATCTTGTTCTTGGTCTACCCCGTGCTCTACGTCCTTCTTCTCTTTCCATGTATGCTTTGTATGGTATAGTGTCACAAGGCATTCTCTCCAAGTGGGCAAACCATTTCACTTGCTGTCTTTGAATGTAATCCAGAATTGATTCTGTGCCGACTTGTTCTCTTATGATCTCATTCCTGATCTTATCTCTTATGGTCACTCCTACAGCTCTTCTCAGACATCTCATTTCCGTGGTTACTAATTTTCTTTTATGGTTTGTTGTGAGTGACCATGTCTGGCACTGGTAGCACAGAGATGGAATAAATATGCTTTGAATAAGATGTCTCTTTGTGCTGATTGGGATTGTCTTATGCTGTAAGAGGGGAGCTAGCTGTCCCAATACTTGGTTTGCTTTACTGCATCTAATTTCAATTTCTTTATCCAATTTCCCATCTTCGGTAAATGTAGTTCCCAGATATTTAAACTCTGATGCCTGTTTAATGCCTTTGTATTCTATTGCTATGTTTAGATCTGTCTTCTTTTTTCCTATTGACATTACTTCTGTCTTTTCAGTGTTGATTCTCATATTATTTGTTTTACATTCTTCATTCATGGATGTTAGATGTTGTTGCAATTTCATGGCTGTATCTGCTATCAAGGCCTGGTCATCTGCAAAGAGTAATTTGTTGATCTTACTAAGATCTTCATTCAAGGCAGCTGCAGGAAATGCGATTGCTGCTGCTCGTGAGTCCCAGCCATCTAGCTGGGGGATACTCTCGGCGGTGGCGGAAGTCGCCGGAAGTGTGCAATTTAAGTCACCGGAAGTGCACAATTGACACATGACTGAGGCCCTGTTAGGGTATATTTTCTACCTCGATAATTTGGGACCGTTATTCGGTAGATAGTCTAAACTTGTCTGTATAGTGATTCAGCAGTATTAGACAGCTAATTACTGCTGGTAGTAGAGGTAAAGATGATGCTGATATGAAGGCTGATAAGAGACGTTGATGCAGGTGTAGTCAGAGTGTAGTTGTCTCAGATGTCACTACATGAATATATGCCACATCCATTCTCAAAACTTGAGAGAGAAAAAGGGGCAGGGGGAGAAAGTACAAAAGAGTTTTTGCAGAGAGAGAGAGAGAGAGAGAAAGAGATGATGCAAAATAGAGTGCAAAAAAGGGAGTGTGCAGGAAAGATTTAAGGGAGAGAAAAAAAGAGGGTAGAGGGTGGGAGAGAAGGGAAAAGAAAAATAGAAAGTCCAAACCAGTTTTCAAAGAGAGAGAGAAAAGGAGAAGAGAGAAACAAATATACAGTGCAATGAAGACAATTTTCAGAAAGAGAGAAGAGAAATGGAGGGCGGGAAACAATGCAGTATAGTGCAAGAAAGGTAGAGAGTGGAGGGGGGCGGGGGAAGTGCACAAGAAAGAAGGTAAGGGAAAGAGAGAGTTCGTAAAACATTGCAACATTATTTTAAAATGCTTGTCAGATCTTCTTAAAGTACATGCTGTATGTGATGGTTCTTTATAGTGTGTCTACATTCTTCTGTCTTGTTCTCTACCATTTGAATATAATGTAGATATTTTGGCTATCCTCTGAATAACGGTCCCAAATTATCGAGGCCGAAAATATACCCTAACAGGGCCTCAGTCACATGTAAATTGCGGACCTCTTTCCTGCGACTATACTCCCACCGCCGAGAGTATCTCTAGATGGCTGGGACTCACGAGCAAATAAAATAGAAGAAGCTGCAGGAGATGCTGTAGCTGCTGCTCGTGAGTCTCAGCCACCTAGTTTAGCCCCGCTCCACGCATAGCATTGGAAACTCTCGGCAGTGACCTTAACTCGGCAGAAGCTTTTTCGCGGTATGCTGTGTTGTCGCCGGAAAGAGGTCCGCAATTTACATGTGACTGAGGCCCTGTTAGGGTATATTTTCGGGCTCGATAATTTGGGACCGTTATTCGGAGGATAGCAAACATTTCTCTATGCCCTGTTGCCACATTTCACCACAACCATCATCATCATATGCCATGCCTCCCAGTAAAGGTTCTAGGGCCCCATTATGGGGAAGACAAGAATAGACTCACTGCCTCCCCAACAAGCAGGTCATAAGAGTCGACTGATTGGGGGCTTCCTTCAGAGTTGGAGTGCATCTGCCTGAGAGGCAAGGAACCAAAAATCTGCAAACAGTAAAGTCAGATCTGTTTAACAGATGTGGACCCAGGTTCTGGAACAAGACAAAGTCTGGAGGTGAACAAACAACCAAAACTTTTCGGCGGAGTTTACATCCACTGAACGCAAAGAAGAAGAAGATATGCCATGCTGATATATGTAGGCTCTCGTGTTTTAATATTTCGCACCATCACGAGCATCATGAATCAGGTCAGTGTTCTTGTCTCGCCCTTCCATACATCTAACCCATCCAGGTATTTATCCCTTGTCCTTCTTCCAGCTTTCTTTCCATCAATCTTGCCAGTTGTCACCAAGTTCTCACGTCCCTTCCTTCTTATAACATGTTTTCTAATCAGTTTACTGCTTTCGTCTGCCTCAAGGGAAGATAATGGGCCCACTGCTTCCATAATAAGCATGTCCTAGAAGGTGATTCATCATCATCATGTTGCAGGTCCTTGGCAGAATGTTGCTCTCATCACGGCCTGTCTGAAGGGAACTCGGTCTCTCGCCAGCTCTCCTGTCTCGTGTACTTTCCAATTCAAGGAGTCGCTTATATCCTGTGCCCGTCTTCGTGTTGGTCACCCCTGCCCCTCCTTCCTGGTACCATGCCTCCTGCTATTATTTTTTGTAATCTGCCTTGCTGCTTGATAAGACCAAAATATTTTAGCTTCAGAGACAAGATGCTGTTTGTCAGCCAATCTTCCTTGATGTTCACATGTGTTAAAATGTCAGTATTTCTTCTCTTCTTTGTCCTTGGTATTCTGAGAATCTTTCTACAGCATTTCAGCTCAAAAGCCCCGATTGTCTTTCTTAAGCACTGGGAGATATTTCAGGACAAAAGATGATTAATGAGGGATTTTCTTTTAAATTCAGGCCATTTGACTGAGAGGCAGTCACCCTTGAAAAAGCAGATGTATTGTGCTTTACAGCTAGGCTGCGATATTTGTACCTTTCAGCAAATCACATCGGATTCTCCAAACTCCTAATATTAGTCTTTTTTGGCATACCTTTTAGGGAAGAGTGGGTCTTTACACCTTTCCCCCTTCCCCAGTGGAGCTCCAGAACCCACATGCGGAGACCCTGAATACTCAAACACATGGACTTGCTGCAGACTAGCCCCGTGTACTTTAATTTTGTATTCTTGAACTCATTAATTTTTATCATTACTTCAGTCTTTTTTTTAACAGTTTAGACAGAGTGCCGAGTCTAGAAAAAAAATTAGAATCTTGACCCTGGAAGCAAATGGCTGCCTTGGTATTCTCCGGCACCTTGGAGCCATCTGACCCATTTGACAGTGCTGTTCTGATCATTGGACAGCTCAGGCATCTGGCAAAGCTGAAGTTTGATGAAGTTCAGTTGAAGTTTGGAGGGAAAGTTGATGCAGAAGTGAGTTTTTTTTTCCCCCTTTGTAAAATTGCATGTGTTTGAAGGCAGAATATTTTAAGCCTGTTTCTGCTGTTTGTCATTGTATTATGTGTGAATCTTATTTATAGTTATCTGCCTGACTAATGTTTGTTTATAGTTATCTCATGGGTGTTGTCTGCCTTTAGTTATCTGTCTGACTGTTGTCTGTCATCTTATTATGTGTGAATGTTATTTGTAGTTATCTGTCTAACTAATGTTTGTCTATAGTTATCTAATGGCTGTTGTCTGCCTTTAGTTATCTGTCTAACTGTTGTCTCTGCCTTTAGTTATCTGACTGACTGTGGTCTGTCATCTTATTATGTGTGAATGTTATTTGTAGTTATCTGTCTAATTGTTGTCTATCTGTAGTTATCTGTCTGTCTGTTGCTTGTCTGTAGTTATGTCTCACTGTTGTCTATGTGTATTTATCTGTCTTACTGTTGCCTGTCTGTAGTTATCTGTCTAACTGGTGTCTCTCTTACTGTTGTCTGTCTGTAGTCATCTAACTGTTGTCTGTGTGCAGTTATCTGTCTGCTCTCTCTGTGTTGTCTGTCTGTTCTCTCTGTGTTGTCTGTCTGATAGTTGTCTCTGATTATTGTCTGTACGATAGTTGTCTATTTGATAGTTGTCTGTTTGACTATTGTTTGTATGTGTGTAGTTGTCTGTCTGATATAACTATGATAGTTGTATTTCTGATATAACTAAGATAGTTGTATGTCTGTAGTTATCTGTTTGACTGTTTTAGGCATGACTGTTGTCTGTCTGATTGTTGCCTGTTTTCTGTCTGATTGTTATTTCACTGTTGTCTGTCTATGATTGTATACTGTGGAACTCCAATATTCATCTTTTTGAAATTGTCCTGTGTTTGTTGTTGAAACCTATGTTTTATATTCGGCCGAAAAGGTCAGTATTCATCCCTTCTCTAACATGGCTACCAGGTTTTAGCCCAGTGTTGTGGTTTTCTGTATTTGTCTTACATTTCTCGGTTTGGTTGATGGATTTGTTCATCTTTTTTGCAGGTTTCTGCTACACTTTTTATCCATCTTTCTTGGTCTTCCTCTCGCCTTTCTTCCAGATGTGTGTATGTGTGCGTGTGTGCATGCGTGTGTATAAAAAGTCTTCTGTGCAGTTTGGTCTGGCTGTATTATCACTAATGGCTGAACCATTTCATTCTTTGTCTGTCAATATAATCCAGACATGGTCTTATTCCGGTGTTCTCTCTAATGCTGGTATTCATAACCCTGTCTCTTCTTGTGTTGTTAGTGACCTTGCAGAGCCAGCACATTTCACATGTAGCTATTTTCTGCTCTACTGTCCTATTCATTGTCCATGTTTGCCACTAACATAAAGTAGGCATAAAGATTCTATTATTTATTTGCTGTTTTGCTGGAAGGGAGACACAAGGGGTGTCAAAGTAGTGGGGCTAACTGATAGATGCAGAAGAAGATTGTCCCCAAATATTTATGTTCTTTTTGGTGTGAAATAAAATATTTTCTGATTGCAGACATTTGCTACCTGCATAAACAGTCTGCACCCGTCGCCAACGGACCAGTGCTCCCTGTGGTTGAATGGTGCCACTGTGGCTGCCCTGCCCGTCAAGTGCAGCCGCCACAACACACCCTCAAGGTGTCACTCGCTGACCAAGCTGGTGAAGAGTTGTCTGGCCGGTGGGCAGGAGTATGTGGTGGTCAGTATGAGACTGTCAGCAGTGTGTTGTATATGTCAACACTGTGTTGTGTCGTGAACACTGTGTTGTATTGTGAACACTGTGTTGTATTGTAAACACTGTGTTTTACTGAGAATAGTGTGTTGTTTTGTGAGCACTAATTTTGTGTTGTGAACAGTGTATTGTGTTGTGAACACTGTGTTGTTGTGAGAGCTGTGTTGTTGTGAACACTGTGTTGTATCGTGAACACTGTTGTACTGTGAACAATGTGTTGTGTTGTGAACAATGTGTTGTGTTGTGAACACTGTATTGTATTGGGAACTGTGTGTTGTATTGTGAACACTGTGTTGTATTGTGAAGAGTGTGTTGTATTCTGAACAGTGTGTTGTATTGTGAATAGTGTGTTGTATTGTGAACACTATGTTGTTGTGAACAGTGTGTTGTATTGTGAACAGTGTGTTGTATTGTGAACACTATGTTGTTGTGAACAGTGTGTTGTATTGTGAACAGTGTGTTGTATTGTGAATAGTGTGTTGAATTGTGAACAGTGTTTTGTGTTGTGAACAGTATGTTGTATTGTGAACAATGTGTTGTATTGTGAGCACTATGTTGTGTTGTGAACACTGTGTTGCAGTCCCATGTAATTTGAGCATAATACTTGAGTAGATAGTGAACAATATGTTGCATTTCTATGTCGTTTGAGAGTAAAACCTTAGTAGATTTTGAACAATTTGTTGCACTCTCATGTGATTTGAGTGTAAAACTTTAGTAGGTTGTGAACAATTTGTTGCACTCTCATGTGATTTGAGTGTAAAACTTTAGTAGGTTGTGAACAATTTGTTGCACTCTCATGTGATTTGAGTGTAAGGCTTTAGTAGATTGTGAACAATTTGTTGCATTCCCATGTCGTTTCAGTTAAAACTTTAGTAGACTGAACAATTTGTTGCATATCCATGTCATTTGAGTGTAAGGCTTTAGTAGATTGTGAACAATTTGTTGCATATCCATGTCGTTTGAGTGTAAGGCTTTAGTAGATTGTGAACAATTTGTTGCATATCCATGTCATTTGAGTGTAAGACTTAAGTAGATTGTGAACAATTTGTTGCATATCCATGTCATTTGAGTGTAAAACTGTAGTAGATTGTGAACAATTTGTTGCATATCCATGTCGTTTGAGTGTAAAACTGTAGTAGATTGTGAACAATTTGTTGCATATCCATGTTGTTTGAGTGTAAAACTTCATGACATGCCCAAAGCAACGCAAGCACATTTTAAAACAGACAAACTGGCACATATTGCACTAACTGGAAAGATTAATGGAAAGAGGACAAAGAAGGCATTGGCGGACGACTCTTACGCTTCCATCATGGCACGGACCAATATCAGTATCATCCAGAGATAATGAAGTGCCCCTTGGAAGTGGTTATTATCTCTTTTAGCACCTAGTAAAACATGTTATGTGATCAGCAATGGGACTCAGGTCCAAACATCAATTTATGTGACTTGACCCTTTAAACAATTCCTCCACCCCAAACCCCCGATTTTACTAACGAAACCTGGCCTTTCAGTAGCAGCTTCTATGCTTCATTTCTCTACAGCATTGATTTGTTTTTCGAAAAGAGTTTACACTGATAAAAAGTGACTATTTTTGTGGGGAAAAAACACTATTGGGACTAGAAGAGTTAAGCAAGGACAAGCATGCAGGAACTGGTTGTAGGATGATATGGCTGTCAACTCGCACCAGGTACATTGAACATGGAGACACTAAGACGGCTGCTGCATGGGAGGACAGAACACAAATGGGTCAGACCGATGTGCTAGGATATTGATACGGAAAACAGGTAACATATAACAAACAGATATCAGCAGACAGTGAATCAGCGCATTCTCTTGAAAGATAAGGAGATGAGAAGTGGGGATTATCTGTGACAGAAGGTAGTAAGTATTGAAGGTTATAAGCTTATCTGTCTTGGTTCCAATTTAACAGCAATCCGGTCTCCCCGTAGCTGCTTAGTTCTTCTGCTGATTACAACCATACAAAATGCCAATGACTGCCCCGTAAAGTCATTCAAACAGCAGTCTTGGCAAAATCCAACAGCTCGCACATGTATCAGATGCATAAGGCAGCTGCCAGAGGTGCCAACACTGACAGCCAATCACTGTCCCATATGAAAAGTCATTGAAACAGCAGTCTTGGCAAAAGTCTAACAGCTCGCCCATGCATCAGATGCATAAGGCAGCTGCCAGAGGTGCCAACACCAACAGCCTATCAGTGTCCTATGTTAAAAAAAATTCAGACAGCAGTCTTTGCAAAAGTCCAACAGCTCGCACATGCATCAGTTGCATAAGGCAGCTGCCAGAGGTACCAGCACGTACAGCCTATCACTGTCCCATGTGAAAAGTCTTGGCAAAATCCAGCAGCTGGCACATGCATCAGATGCAAATTGACTGATATTTTTATAGACCAATCGACCCTCATTGGGTGATGTGGTCAGCATCATGGTGGCCACCTTTACTTCCCAGTGCTTTACCCGATACACATTTAAAGTCGGGTCAACCTGGGAGCCGAGGTATTGTTTCAAAAAATCTGGCACCTTGCAGATTTTAACCCACGACCTTCAAACCCGCAGGCAAGGGTTGGCTCTATTAGGACCCCGACCCAGTTTCCTTCTAAATCGTAAAACTCAGGAGAGAAGTTCATAAAAAGACTAGAACACAAGAACGTTTTGCTTCCTCTGCTAATTTTGTACACATATTTTGTACATATATTTTGTACACGTAATTTTTTGTGTTGCTTGATGTGCACTCTTCTTGCAGATTGTGTGTGAGCGGGAGAATGTTTTCGCATCAGGCTTGGCAGTCGCAAGGGCTCTACCTCTCTACTCAGCTAAATCTGGCAGCCACAACATTGCTCGCAAGGTTTGATTTTGGTTTGATTTTCTTTGTATTTGTTAACGACCCCCCCCCCCCCCCCCCCCCCCCCCCCCCCACCCCAAAAAAAAAAACCTGAAAAAAAATGAAAACATAAAAAACCTATACTTTTCACAGCGTTAATGAAACCGTATCTTCCCTGTGTGGGTTCTGGGATCTCACGAGGGGTGGGGGGGGGGGGGGAGCTAGACCAGCTGCACCCCAAACAAGTATGTTGTAAAAGACGACTAATTAGGGGTGTTTCTTTTAAATTTGGAGTACATCTGCATGAAAGGTGAGGAAGCATGGATTTGCATGCAAAACTCAAGTTCTGGAACAAGACCAAACTCCAGAAGTGGATGAACAACCAGATTCTTTCTGTCAGAATTTACTGCCAGTGAAGGCTAAACAGAGGAAGAAACCATATCTGCTTGAGTTCAAGATGGGCATTGTTAATTTAAAGCTGCTTGGCCCGGGACTAATTGGTACACAGATGTCACATTAACTGGAATGTATGGAGGATAGCCAGTCACACCTGTTTAATTGTTCAAGACAGAGACAGTCAAATGTGTTGCAAGTCTAGAGTTTGAAACCTAATGTCATGATGGTTACACACAAGATACTGCGCAGGAATAATTACTTTTCTTACTTTGCACGTTGTAAGGGGGTGGGGGAGGAGGGAGACTGAATGAGAACACTAGTGAATCTCTTACCTTGTCTGTGTGACAGAGACAGACAGACAGATAGATAGAACAAATGAACAAACTTTATTTTCAAAGGGTCACAAATTGGGCATACAGGCCCATCTTACATGCGCTTCAAAACACCCATCTTTCACACAGCAGTTGTTTTTTATCAATAAAGCATGTTATGTTATAAATATCAAGAAAAAACACAAAAGCATCGGTAGTAAAATGCATGCACACACTCGGCTGCGCGTGTGCACACACACTCCCATGCACACGACACTCACTCACTCACACACACACATGCATACACACCCACATACATGCATAAAACATACACACATATTACATACATACATATTACATGCATACATATTACATACACACATATTACATACATACATATTACATACACACATGCATGCATACATACATACATACATACATACATACATACATACATACATACATACATACATACATACATACATACATACATACATACATACATACATACATACATACATACATACATATACACACATACAAACATATGCAGACATTTACAGACACATACATACACGAACAGACACACACACACAGATTCATAGACACACACACATAAACACATGCAGAGAGAGCTAGTCTGTTTTTCCCTTACCTTGTGTGTCTTACCTGTAATTACCTTGTTGATGTGTATGTTCTCTCATCTTGTGTGTGTGTCTTACCTCCTATAATTACCTTGTTGATGTGTATGTTCTCTCATCTTGTGTGTGTGTGTGATGCAGGTAACTGTGGAGTTCATTGTCGTGGATGAGGACAAGAGAGTTTCCCTAACCCCAGAGGACCTGGAATGCTTGAAGGTAGCCGCGGATGGCGTCCGGCTGGCAGCCAAGATTGTGGACATGCCCTGTAGTGAGATGAACGTGGACAACTTTCTACAGGTAACACAGAAGTTAGGTTTAGTCAAAGTTGATTTACTGCACTTTTGAGTGGCACCTGGTCAAATGTTGAATGTTGTTGAATTAAGAATCATCATCATAGCACTCAGGACACTCTCATAAGCGCTCCGTCACCCATTTTCAGCAGCAAGTGAAAAGTTCCAATTCTGATGATACCAGTAAATGTCTGATTGTACATCTGTCTCGTCTTTCCCATGAGTATTGAGCGTCGGCCAGACCCCCTGGTAACTCTCGGAAGCATCCTTTTCCTCAGACCGTAATGATCTGTTTGTGCCTTTGCACTGTTCACTTGCTCCCAAAGGCTCTGACAACATCTAGCTTGTCATACATCAATTCACCACCAAGTGGTGTAGAACCGGCCAGTCTATTTGCCTGCTTGTTTCCCAATACACCATCATTACCTGGAGAAAATATCCAAAGAACACTAACTATGCAGTACCTCTGAAGCGATACCTGCTAGAGCACCTGGTTGAAATATTACAGTGCTCCCTTAGCACGGTGATTTCAGCCACAGGCGGGAAGGAAAGGCCATTGTGATATATATATATATATACAAAGTGATACTCCTGACCTCATCTTCGGAGCCAGCTGGCTTTATGCTTGTTTTACAGATCCTCATATGAGACTCATGCTATTCAAAATGTGGAATGTATGCTATTCAAATGTAGAATGTAGACTATTCAGCAGGTGGAATGTAGACTTTTCAAAGGGTAAAATTTAAACTATTCAAAAGGTAGAATGTAGGCTACAAAAAAAAAAGGTAGTATATAAGCTATTCAAGAGGCAGAATGTGGACTATTCGAAAGGTAGAATGCAGACTGTTTCGGAAATCTAAATATGACGGTTTAATGAGAGGTGGTAACTATACACTGTCTTGTTTTTTTTTTTTTTTTTAGGAAATCCAAGAAGTGGGATCTGATCTGAACATCACTCCCAAAATTATCTCTGGTGAGGAGTTGGCAGAGAAAGGATTTGGAGGTACAGCTGACTGGTTTTATGACTTTAAGATATTTTGTTTTATTTGGGGAGAAGGGGGGGGGGGGGGGTGGGGGGGGGGGGGGGGGGGGGGGTGGGGGGGGGGGGGGGGGAGGGTGTTATTATTTTTGTGCTCCTTCTGCTGCTTTTCCTTTTCATTCTTCTTCATCATCTTTCTCCTCCTACTTCTTCTGCTGCTGCTTCCTAAATCGTCTTCCTCATTCTTCTTTTTGTTCTTGTTCTTCTTCTTGTTGTTCTTCTTCTCTTTTATCTTCTTTTTCTTCCTCCTTCTTATCTTTTCCTAAGATTGTATATCATACACAGAGTCAGTCATTATTTCAACTAGGACCTGAGATTGTATGTTACGTACAAATCAGCCATTGTCTCAACTAGGACCTGAGATTGTATGTTACAAAGCCATTGTCTCAACTAGGACCTGAGATTGTATGTTACGTACAAATCAGCCATTGTCTCAACTAGGACCTGAGATTGTATGTTATGTACAAATCAGCCATTGTCCTAACTAGGACCTGAGATTGTATGTTACGTACGAATCAGTCATTGTCTTAACTAAGACCTGAGATTGTCTGTTACGTACGAATCAGCCATTGTCTCAACTAGGACCTGAGATTGTATGTTACGTATAAATCAGCCATTTATGAAAGCTATTGTGCAGTGCATATCTCCTCATGTACCATACAGCTTTGTCTTCATTGAAGTTTGAATACGCCATAATGCTTCTCTGTTGTCAGTTGACAGTGTTGGAGCACATGCTCAGCATTTTCTGATGCCACCTGCAGGGACACATCTCCATGTTTCCTTTACCGAACAATTAGAACATATGTTGGTGACCAGTGGCAATCTTCCTCTTTTCTCTAGTCCCAGAATGCCTCTCGGCGTCAGGGCAGGAAGAGATCTCTGGAACGGGCCTATCTGTTCTCTACTCCCAGAATGTCTCGCGGCACCAGGACAGGAAGAGATGTCTGGAACGGGCTCTTCTGTTCTCTACTCCCAGAATGTCTCGCGGCACCAGGACAGGAAGAGATCTCTGGAACGGGCTCTTCTGTTCTCTACTCCCGGAATGTCTCGCGGCACCAGGACAGGAAGAGATCTCTGGAACGGGCCCTTCTGTTCTCTACTCCCAGAATGTCTTGCAGCACCAGGACAGGAAGAGATCTCTGGAACGGGCCCTTCTGTTCTCTACTCCCAGAATGTCTCGCGGCACCAGGACAGGAAGAGATCTCTGCAACAGGCCCTTCTGTTCTCTACTCCCGAAATGTCTCGCAGCACCAGGACAGGAAGAGATCTCTGGAACGGGCCCTTCTGTTCTCTACTCCCAGAATGTCTTGCAGCACCAGGACAGGAAGAGATGTCTGGAACAGGCCCTTCTGTTCTCTACTCCCAGAATGTCTCGCGGCACCAGGACAGGAAGAGATCTCTGCAACAGGCCCTTCTGTTCTCTACTCCCGAAATGTCTCGCAGCACCAGGACAGGAAGAGATCTCTGGAACGGGCCCTTCTGTTCACTACTCCCGGAATGTCTCGCGGCACCAGGACAGGAAGAGAATTCTGGAACGGGCCCTTCTGATTGCTTATTATGAAGTACTTTTCAGTGTCTGATATTTCTGTTGTCTTTATTCTGTGTGGTCGACCTCTGGCTCTGTTACCTCTGTATCTGTATAACATTGCTTTCTGTGGTGCCTTGTCTGCTGACAATGACAATAAATCAAAATAAATCTGATTCAAATATTCTCAATCCTAGGAATCTATGGAGTCGGGAAGGCTGCCACAGTTCCGCCTGCCCTAGCCGTGCTGAGTCACATTGTGCCGAACTCTACAGAAACCATAGCCTGGGTCGGCAAAGGGATCGTCTTCGACACTGGTGGTCTGTGTATCAAGACGAAGGTAAGGGGTCTTGCAGTGAACTTGCAGAGCTAGGTTTCATTGTTGGAAGAGGCAGCCGGTGATGCTTTGGTTGGTTCAGTGGGGTGGTTGAGTGATTTGTTGGATCGGTTGATTGAATGAGTGATGGTTCGGTGAGCGAGTTTGTTTAACAATGGTTTCTTTGATTGGTTGGTTATTTGGTTTGTTGAGTTGTGATACATCCTTGCATTGCCGACTATTGCAGAAAGGCTAAAGGTGCTGCAGGCTAAGTCACACCTCAGAGTAGCTGCAGACAAAGAACACCCTCTGTATGAAGCTTTGGCTGCAGGTAAGGGTCAGAGGCTGAAAAGGGGGAAAATCGTGGATGGCTCATGCAGAAGACACAATAAGACAAGTATGCATGCTGGAGAAGAACATTGGGTTAGTAGAGGAGTGGGAGAGTACCAGAGAAAAAGTCTGATCTGAGTCGGGTTATGATCACATTGAGCGGGAGTACATAGAGTGGCTAGCAGGTGCTAAAAGATGGAGGTCCAACTGTTGTTTTACATCAATTCTCGCCCAGATGTTCTGATTATCTATACATAACTATATAAATGCAGTTTAGATAAATTTTTTTTGTACAGCATCTGTTCTGATCTCGCAGGCTGGAATGTGTGGTATGAAACGAGATTGTGGGGGAGCGGCTGCTGTCCTCGGAGCATTCAGAACAGCTGTGAAGCTGGTGAGTGACATCGTAAACTATTTTCTGTTGGCAGGATGTTGTCTTCTAGTCCCATGAAGACTTTCTAAATAAAAAGACTGGTGAAGCAAAGTGTTCAACAGTGTTGGGATGCAGAGGTGCTGACCCCTCTTGTTCCCTGTCTGGGTTCTGGGACTTTATTATGGGGGTGGGTTGGGGTGGGGAGCTGGAGAATAGATCTGCTGCCTCCCTGTTGAGCATGCTGTCAAAGGTATCTAATTAGGGGTGCTTCTTTCAAAGTAGGAGTGCATCTGCTTGGCAGGCGAGAAACAATCAGTCTGCAGTCCTCCTCCTTCTCCTCTTATTCCTAATCTTTTTACTCCTTTTCCGTCTTCTTTTTCCTCCTCCACCTCCTCCCCACCTCCTTCTTCTTCTTTCTTTTTCTTTTTCTTCCTCCTCTTCTGTTTATCCACACAGTTCTTCTGTTTACCCACACAGTTCTTCTTTTTGCCCACACACTTTTCCTGTTTACCCACACATTTCTCCTTTTTACCCACATACTTCCCCTTATTATCCTTCCACACACTTCTCCTGTTTTCCCACACAATTCTCCTGTTTTCCCACATGGTTCTCCTGTTTACCCACATAGTTATGTTAACCCACACAGTTCTCCTGTTTATCCACACACACCTCCTGTTTACCGCACACTTCTCCTGTTTACCCACACACTTCTCCTGTTTACCCACACCTTTTCCTGTTTAACACACGGTAAAGACATGTTGAGAACAAGGGGGAAATGACTGGGGATTACATGAGATGAGCCACATATGATGGCAGAGAATAGGACCCTGTGGCTCAAGTTGGTTGATGGGCATTAGGGGATAGAGTACATGTTTTCTTCTTCCACATTCATCCCAAGATGTCAATGCTTTGTATCCGTTTACAACATCATCGTGTGCCCTGCCAACTGGTGTGGGCACTCATGCGTCTCCACAGATCCCCATCCCTGGTTGCCTGGAAGATGTCTCTTGATGATATCCCTCCATACCATTGGTTCAGCCCAACCAGCATAATTTCTCTTGGTCTGCCTCTACCCCTTTTTCCACTCTTTCCAGTTGTCACGATGTTGTCCAATGTCTCTCTTCTCATTATATGGCCAAAGAACAGTGTTTATCTCCTTTTTATTGTTGTATATAGAGATCTACTTTTATTAGCTTCTTTCAAGCATTTGTTGTTAGTTACTCAAGGTATTTGTAACATTCGTCTCAGAAACCACATATCTATTGCTTTGAAATTCTTTTTAATTTGTTCACTGACATTCCAAGATTCGCCGCCACACAGCAGAACAGGCTCTAGTAACATTTTAGCACCCTCTTTCTGACATTAAATGAGAGCGATTTATTGTATCAGATATTTTTCATTTTCTGAAATGCAGCTTTCCCTTGACCTATTCAGCTTTTAATCTCTGTCACACATTTTCCATCTGATGATATGATTGTTCCCAGATATTTGAATTTATTGACTTGGTTAAGTCTTTTTCCTTCAACTGAGACATCACAACGTAGTGTTATCTTCTTCTTTGATATAACCATTACTTCATTTTTCTTAATATTTGATGAAAGTCCTTTCTTAGCACTCTCCATCCCCACAATATCCAGCAGTTGTTGTAAATCAGTTGCATTTTTAGCTTCAAAACTGTATCATCTGCATAATGCAAATTGTTTATATTGTATCTTCCAACTCTTACTCCTGCATTCTCTTTAATTTCCCTCAAAATTATTTCACTATATATAGAGAGAAAAGGTCTGGGGATAAGACACATTACTCCTTGCTTTATCTTTACAACATGGCTGCGATATTTGTGCTTTTCAACCGACACGTCCGACTTCTGCAGGCATTTGATGCTCGGGCTAGTGTTCTCGCACAAATATTTCAAACACATTCTAGATATAATACAACCCCCTGTTTTAAACTTTACAAATTTGGAAAACATTTTGTGTTATAAATGGAACCCAAACAAATACGGTATATGTGAAAGAATACCACCGGTATCCCTAAGTGAGTGTTTACTGTGGGATTTCCTTTGGCTGTAAGCTTTGTTTGATTCTCTTTGATTCCATCGCAGGGCTTCAGTGAGACACTGCACGCAGTCTTCTGCCTGGCTGACAACGCCGTGGGGCCCCTGGCCCAGAGGCCTGACGACATCGTGCACATGTACTCTGGCCGAACCGTGGAGATCAACAACACGGACGCCGAGGGCCGGCTGGTGCTCGGAGATGGGGTGAGTTCAGATACGCTAACTTGAATGTCATGTTGGGCAGTAGTTCTCAATTACCCATTTAAAGTTTGAGAATAGGTTTATTTCGTTTTGTCCCCAAGACCTCTAATCATTAGCTTCACCGAATAAAACTGCGATCCAACGCCAGCTATCCTGATGAAAACTTGAGAGGGAACTAGCTACTAGATGGTTCGATTAGTCTTTCGCCCCTATAAGATAGCTAAGCTTAAATATGTGGATCTGCTTATTTTCAAAGGATTGTCGCGAACCCCATATTTTGAGTCATATTCAGGGATTTCTTTTGAAAGAAGAAGTGCCGGTACTCACTACATAGTGTCTAAAAAAGGTGCCGGTACTTACCACATAGTGTCTAAAAAAGGTGCCAGTACTTACCACATAGTGTCTAAAAAAGGTGCCGGTACTCACCACATAGTGTCTAAAAAAGGTGCCGGTACTCACCACATAGTGTCTAAAAAAGGTGCCGGTACTCACTACAAAGTACCCATTACAGCAACACAATGTAATTATGCCTACAAAAAGTGCTAGTACTGCTTACCATTACATATCACCAGAAAAAGCCCTGGTCTCACTGAAGAACTTGGATTAGATTTATGAGTCTTAGAGTTACGAAAAGAATTGCAGTCTAAAGTTGAGGTTTTTTGTAAATGATGAAATGAAATAAATTGTTTTCAGTTGGAACGCTTTTATTAGTTGATGGGAAAGCCTGTATGCCTAAAAGCTGTCGATGACCCACATACAAAATAACTGCCAGTTGATTGGTTGAGCCCTAAGGTTTTCTTGCTTGCCATTTGAAGAGTTTTACTCATTAAATTACAAATATTTTGAACTTGCGTAAAGCATTGAAACTGGGTCGCTTTCATAAAATATTGTTTCTCTGTTTATCACAGGTATCTTATGCGGTCAAGGACTTGCATAGTGACATCATAGTGGACATTGCCACACTGACCGGAGCACAGGGGATAGCCACAGGTAACAATATCTTCATCAGCTTTATTGTTAGCAATCCCACAAAAGCAGTTGGATGATTGTGATACTCATCTCATCAATCTGTTTATATCAGAGCCCTTTGGCAGCAAGTGAACAGTGCGGAGGCACAAATTGGTCATTACTGTCTAAGGAGAGTTATGGGGAGTTACCAGGGGATCTTGCCGACGCTGAACACTCAAGGGAAGGGCGAGGCGGATGTACAATCAGACAGTTACTGGTACCATCAGAATTGGAACTCTTCGCTTACTGCTGAAGATGGGGATGGAGTGCTTATGGGAGTGTCCCAATTGCAGTGATTTCGGTTCTTGAAACTCAGCTCTGCATTTCTTGTCTGACTTCTGTGAAGGATAGGAGTGGCCAAGAGAACGGGCTGGTTTTTCTTGTGGGAGACCCGGGTTTAATTCTTGGTAATCCTGTATGGGTTCTGAGGTCCCATTGTGGCAAAACAAGAACAGACCCACTGCCTCCTTAGCAAGCATGTCTTAAGAGTCGACTAATTGAGGGTCTCTTTTGAAGTTGAGTGCATCTGCCTGAGAGGCAAGGAACCAATAGTCTGCAAATAAACCAGATCCGTAAAATGGACATGCACGCAAAACTCAAGTTCAGAAACGAGACTAAAGTCCAGAATTGGACGAGCAAGCAGAACTTTCTGCCAGAGTTTACAGCCATCAAACATAAAGAGGAATAATTCTTAGTGAGTGATGGAGATTTTTTTTTTCTGTCCGCAAACCCCCCCCCCCCCCCCCCCCCCCCCCCCCCCCTCCCCTACCCAACCTGCACAGTTCGTAGCAGCTGTGCTAGCCTTGGTGCTTTAAATCCCTTTTCTGATCCCTTCTGGCACCGCCACAAATGGGGTCAACAAAGGCAGATTTTTACAAATGTCTGAAATGTGCACAACTTTGAACTGGTGACTTAAAACCTGATGTTTGACCGTTGCTCTTTGACCCTCTTAGGCAAATACCATGCCAGCATTCTGACCAACAATGAGAAGCTGGAGGAGCTGTGTGTCAAGGTTGGCCGATCTTCTGGTGACCTGGTACACCCGGTACCTTTCACCCCTGAACTTCACTCGCAGGAGTTTTCCAGCGCCATTGCTGATATGAAGAACTCTGTAGCTGTAAGCTTTATGTTGATCTTTTGTGTGTGTATAATGTGGGAAGAGTCTTTGGCTGTGTGGGAGAGTGTGCAATGTGGGAAGAGTGTGTGGGGAAGAGTGTGTGTGGTTGGATGGGAGAATGGATAAATGAGAGAGTTTGTGCAAGTAGTTGCAAGTTTTTATGGGTAACTGGAAGAAAGTAGATAAGTTTTGAGGTGCAGATTTACATATTTATGAGTCTGTCCCGTGCTCACCAACAGTACATTGCATATGTATAGACCACGACCGGCTCCAGCTGAAGGGTGTGCTGCTGACGCCAGCGGTTAATACAGTGGTTCGCGAACTAGGTGCCGAGGCACCCTGGAGTGCCATAAGCGTATGCCAGAGGTGACGCGGCAATAATCAAGAAAAGTCTGCTAAAAATTGTGAAATTATTAAAGAAGGCAAGTAGATACTTGAAAGTTTAAACTTAAGGTGTCTTCCCTCGCCACTGTCGAAAATAATTTTTTTTGAGAACCGCTGCGATAACGCATTATTAGCCCGACCCAGTTACGTCAGCAGCACAGCCCGTCAGCTGGAGCCGGTCGTGTATAGACTTACCTGTGCAGAATAGAGGGAATTAAACTGCGTGATATATATCTCTAATGTGGAGCTTTTGGGGAAAAATTTAAGCAAATTCTAGCGAATCAAGAGGTGAAAATCCTGGCATTGAGAAAACCTGGGAACAATATAACTAGAATATCTTTGCACTGGAGCCCACAGAGGCATAGTTTATAAAAACAGAAACAAAAAACACACACACATTAAGAGAGCTAGAGAATGAAGTGAAAGAGAGGTTATGTTGTGAGCTGCATGTAATAGCATGACCCTATCCTCCATATAGTCAACATCCTGCCAGCCACCTTCTCTTCCCAGGAAGGCATTTATATGTTGTGGTGAGTGCCGTCAGTAACATATGTGTGCATATCATAATGACATTTCGCCTGAGAGGCAAAGAGCGACATACTGCACACTGTTAAGCCAGTAAAACTCAGGTCCTGGCACAAAGTCAAGGTCCACATGGATGAAAAACCAGGTCTTTTCGCCAGAATTCACAGCCGGTGAATCCCCCCCTCCCCCCCCCCATTTTTTTTTTAGATACAAAATAATGTGACATTACGGTTTCACAGGACCGAAGCAACGCACAGGTGTCATGTGCAGGACTCTTCATCATGTCTCACTTAGGACAGGACTACAATGGTGCCTGGCTACATATAGACATTGCCTCCCCATCCTACTCAGTAAGTATACAATTTGGCTGTTTTTATATATTTGGGGGGGGGGGGGGTTAAAATTTTACCAGTAGCGTACATTTCCCCAAGATTTATTACAACTACTCTGGTTTGCTTTAGTTACTAATGTGTACATTCCAGTGCTTGTATCGAATATTTCGATGCTATTGATAACGTTGACTATAACTTGATGTATGAATGAAATGATGTAAGAATTGAGGGAGACTTAAAGGGCAGAATGTTAGACAGGCCTGCGTACCAAATTCTTCATTGTCCTGTTTTGCCAGGTCATGACGGTATGTATGTTGGGAAATGAGCAGGCTGATAGACTGGCCGGCTGTGCACCACTTGGTGGTCAGCTGATGTATGACAAGCTAGATATTGTGAGGGCCCTTTGGGAGTGAGTGAACAGTGCGGAGGCACATATAGATCATTACGGACTGGTGAGAATGGCGCTGCGAGGAGTTACCAAGGAATTTGCAGATGCTCAAGGGAAGGGGCGAGACGGATATACAGTCAGACAGTTACTGGTGCCATCAGAATTGGAACTCTTTGCTTGCTGCTGAAGATGGAAACAGAGCGCTTATGGGAGCGTCCCGTGTGCTGTGATGTTAATTCCTAATTCAGCATTCCTAATTTGCCATTATGTCTCACAGTTGTTTTTCCATTTTGTTCTACGATTGCTTCGATCGATACCAGGGATGGAATCCAGCCTAGCAGCTTTGGCTTTCCTCATTAGCATTCGCCTTCAGGTTTCTCTTGGAGGGCCTTGTTTCCTCATCCCTCCCTTTTCAATTTCAGTGCCTGTTTTCCCTGTGTGGGTTCTGGGACCCCATTCTTATGGAGGAAAAAAAAAAAGAATAGAGCCACTGCCTCCGTGAAAAGCGGGTCCTACAAGGCGACTGATTAGATCTCATCCACCATAAACTCTGGCAGGAAGTTCTAGTTGTTCGTTCATTTCTGGAACTTCATTTTTTTTCCAGGACTTAAGTTTTGCCTGTACATCCATGTGTCAGATCTGGTTTATGCAGACTGTTGGTTCCTCACCTCTCAGGCAGATGCACTACGACTTTGAAACGCCTCTAAAAAGTTGCTTCCTAAGACATGCTTATTAGGGGGAGGGTTTGGATCTAGTGTTTTTTTTTTCTTTTTCTCAAAATTGAGGACCCCAACCCCACACAAGCATTTTGTTGGTATAATTTGTTGTTTATAACTCCGTTAGTTATCTTCTTTTTGTAAACCTTCAAATTCATCTTAATTTTTCACAAACCTTCCAGCTATAAACCTTCAAATGTATCTTAATTTTTCACAAACCTTCCAGCTATAAATCTTCGCTTCCAGCTATAAACCTTCAAATAAATTTTTTTTTTACAAACCTTCCAGCTATAAACCTTCAAATGTATCTTAATTTTTCACAAACCTTCCAGCTATAAATCTTCGCTTCCAGCTATAAACCTTCAAATAAATTTTTTTTTTTACAAACCTTCCAGCTATAAACCTTCAAATGTATCTTAATTTTTTTTACAAACCTTCTAGCTATAAACCTTCAAATAATTTTTTTTTTTACAAACCTTCCAGCTATAAACCTTCAAATGTATTACATTTTGCAAATAAGTTATAAACTTCTAAATTTATTATAAACCTTAAGTAATTAATTCATTGCAAACTTTCAAATTATGTGTTCTGATTGATTATATTTAAATGTATGTACTTTTCACATTTATCTAAGTTATTACATACCTTCAAATTTACATAATTTTTTTACAGACCTTCAAATTGATTACAGAATTTCTGATTTAAATAATTTATTTCAATCCCTCCACATTAACCTGATTTATTGGAAGGCCTCAGATTTATCTTATTCATTGCAAACCTTACAATCTGTCTAATGTAATACAAACGTTCAGATTTATTACATTTATTGATAACTTTAAAATTGACTGAAATTGGTCACACACAAATCTCGTCCCCAGGGAGAGAGAGCTACTGGCTACGGTGTGGGCCTGCTGGCATCCTTGTTCGGAGACAGATCCCTAAACCCTTTGCTACGATTGGTCGGCCCAACTGGCGCAGTCAACAACGGGGTGGCTATGGACGAGGATGTTGAGGATGGTCCCAAACGGATGAAACTCATCTAGCAACATCATCATCATTTGGCAACCCACGCCTCTTTCGTCTTATATTGTGTACCCATTTGTATACTGTCACTGCTGCTTGTGGTAGTATTAAATAATTCAGTATTTCAAGCAGATGTGAGCCGCAAGTTGTTGCTATATTGTTCAAGTATACCACTGATTTTAAAAGTCTGTAATGTCTGTATTTATTATTTGGTTAGGATTTAAAATTTTGGCTCTGGATAGAGAAAACAAAAATGTCCGTACCTCATCAAGGGTCAAACCCGGGTCATCTTCTGTGGGCAATTTATTACAGATTGTATTGAGGTTTAAGCAACAGATCATCAACATTATGGCACACGGGTGTAACCCATAAGTGCTCCGTTCTTCTAACAAAGTCCGAGTCAGAAAAAACTCAGCACGGTGCACAGGCTCTGTAGCACCAGCCAAGATCCTGAAATACTTTTTGGTAGATTTTTAACTCCAGATGTGGCCCGGGCAGCACCGTTAGGTTACTCTTTTGATTTCTAGCTGCCAAGGAATTTTTTGCGGGCGCTACAATCCACAGGGGCGTTCGATCTTACTACTCAGAGATCAGGGGAAATTACTAGAAGTCCAAGTCCACATGAAAAAAACCCAGCCCTTTTCGGGGATTGAACCCAGAACCTCTAGCACCTGAGGCGGACACCATGCCTCGAGACCACGCAGCCACTGTTGTTGAGCCGAGACCTAACATCAACAGTACTGGGAATATTCCCATATGCACTCTTTAGCAGCCAGCGCAGAGTTCCATTGGTATTACAGATGAGTGTTGACCACTAAAGGTATGTGCAAGTGGGACATGAATGGTATCGGTATTGAGGTGATTTTGTGCAGACAGGATGCTATGGGCCTTGTCGACTAGAAGGGGGAAACATCAGGAAGGGAATAGAGGAGGAAATAATTGCAGATAGGTCAGGAACTGAGTGATGAGTAAAGGACCCTTTTCTATGCCTTTGGGCATATAGGGCTAGACCTATATTTCTTTTAGACTAATCTGTACTTGGTGGGTGATGTAGTTATCACCACCCTGGCCGCCTTTACTTCTCAGGACTGCACATAGTACCCACTCTAGGCTAGGTCGACCTGGCAGCCAAGGTCAGGTGTCTGAGAAGCAGTATGATAGATTCATACCATGGCTAGAATGGTTAGGAGATTCATACCATGGCTAGAATGGTTCAGAGATTCATACCATGGCTAGAATGGTTCAGAGATTCATACCATGGCTAGAATGGTTCAGAGATTCATACCATGGCTAGAATGGTTTAGAGATTCATACCATGGCTAGAATGGTTGGGAGATTCATACCATGGCTAGAATGGTTCAGAGATTCATACCTTGGCTAGAATGGTTCGGAGGTGTGGCGGGTAACTTCGCTTTACACTAGCGAATGCACTATGTGCACTTTACAGAGGGAACTACAAACAGTGAAACATCATACGGTCTTATAGTAACCCCAGCCTTGCTGGTTAAATGAGAGGATTCTGGGTTTGCCCACATCTATTCCCTACTGTTATTAAATTGTATATTTAAATGTATTTAAATTACACTAGCTTTTGTTCACTGACACACTTACAGTTAAAATGAAACTTCAGAAAACTGTAAGAACATTAAAACTACATTTATTTTGAAAATTCAAATGATAACTAAATAAAATGGCTGTGGATATAAAATCCTGTTATTCAAGGTAGGTTTAGTTAAATCTTAGCTGTAGCTTAGGTTTCTGTTGTCAGCTTCTGACTAAGCTTCGGAAACACATCAGGCAGGCCGAATCTTCCAGTCCAGTCCGGACAATCGGGTATCTGCAGCTAAGCTTAGGATCTACTTCTGGACTACCATCTGGAATACAATCTGGAACTAGAACAATAGAACAGTCCTTATACAAACAGTCAGGAAGGTTCTAACTGGAGACAACAATACCTCCAGTCTTTAAACTGTTACACTACACACATATATATGGAGTAGGATAGTAACAGGTGTTCACATTCTACTGGTATAGAATGGGAATGTATACAGAACATGGTCCATAATCCTGATGGGGAAATATTTAGGAAACCAGTTTCATGAATACTCTCAAGAACAAGAGTTTACAGCACACAAAAAGAAAGGACATTCCTCAGTGTAAATTGTTCTGATGTCTGCACACTAGTACTCCTTTGAAGGGTTAACATGCTTACACACACAGACATACAGTCATATTTCACAATATTCTCATTTTAACCACATGGGTTCACATCACAATGAATGAGAAGCAGGGAGTGAGTTTACCAAGAGCAGAAACTCAACAGGTGCTTTGCACTGTTTGAAAATAAATGGGATTGACATATCTCCATACTGGGTGCTGGTATAGATGTCAAAATATACAATCATAGATGACAATGGGCTTTCCATCTGTCACAGTATTAACATAAAATATACAACACTCACTCCAGTTTAAATCTAAATCCACACATGTGCTAATCTTATCCAGCAGAGTTTAGAAGTAGGGAAGGTTGAAATATAATTATTACAATTGTAAGGCCACCTGCTGCAGTACTGAAATATTCCTAGTAATGGTGGAAATATATATACAACAATAATAATTACAAGCATGGGCCATACATCTCTTTTCTGCTTCTTCTTCTCTGACAGTGTGCATATTAAATTCAGCCTCACTGTGTTATTCACTTTCCAAGCTCTTAAACTAGTCTCAGAATTATCTGGACTAAATCTAATTTAAAGCAAGACAGTGATTTATTAAGCTAATATCACCATGAGGTAAAATCAACTTAGAAGGGATTAGGTATAATGAATATACACTTCATTCCTTTTTAATTGTCCCACCATGCTGGAAACCGGAACTGGCCGAGATTTCACATGAGGACATAATTATCACTTAATTAATATAAGTATAATAATTAAAAATACCAATGCACGTTTCTAGTAGCAAATAAACATTAATTCAATCATCAAATCGATAATATGTTTGCATACATGTACATACTAGATCATAAACGTGGTTAGTGAGGATAAAGAAATTTATCATAGTTGTTGAGCCATGTGGGCATTAAATTTCAGAATTCAGCCTGTAAAATTAATTCAGAGGAATAAGCAGCAATACATCAAATTAAACTTATTCTTTTAACTCACCCCTGGCAGGGAATTCAAACAGAAAATTGGACCACAGGCAGACTAACAACTTTAGATCTGAACCGGTCAATTTCTGAATTGAAAAGGGAACAGGAAGTCAGGAGGAAGTAACTCTTCAGTCCCCCTTGCCCTACTCTTCGCCTTTATTACCTTTCAACTCTTTAATTATAATTTTGCTCCAATGAAGCATTAAGAAAAAGTTAAGGAAATTTCTTAATTAATCCAGTGTTATTATGCTAATTAAAAGCAATAGGAAAATGTTTAGAACTTTGGTAATAATATTATCTAAACAAAGCACTTTTTAAAAGGACAGAAACAGCTGTCCAGACCAGCTCGTCACAGGAGGTTCATACCATGGCTAGAATGGTTCGGAGGTTCATACCATGGCTAGAATGATTAGGAGATTCATACCATGGCTAGAATGGTTCAGAGATTCATACCATGGCTAGAATGGTTCAGAGATTCATACCATGGCTAGAATGGTTCGAAGGTTCATACCATGGCTAGAATAGTTTAGAGATTCATACCATAGCTAGAATAGTTCAGAGATTCATACCATGGCTAGAATAGTTCAGAGATTCATACCATGGCTAGAATAGTTCAGAGATTCATACCATGGCTAGAATAGTTCAGAGATTCATACCATGGCTAGAATGGTTTGGAGATTCATACCATGGCTAGAATATTTCAGAGATTCATACCATGGCTAAAATGGTTCGGAGGTTCATACCATGGCTAGAATGGTTCGGAGGTTCATACCATGGCTAGAATGGTTCGAAGGTTCATACCATGGCTAGAATGGTTCGGAGGTTCATACCATGGCTAGAATGGTTCAGAGGTTCATACAATGGCTAGAATGGTTCAGAGATTCATACCATGGCTAGAATGGTTCAGAGATTCATACCATGGCTAGAATGGTTCAGAGATTCATACCATGGCTAAAATGGTTCGGAGGTTCATACCATGGCTAGAATGGTTCGGAGGTTCATACCATGGCTAGAATGGTTCGGAGGTTCATACCATGGCTAGAATGGTTCAGAGGTTCATACAATGGCTAGAATGGTTCAGAGATTCATACCATGGCTAGAATGGTTCAGAGATTCATACCATGGCTAGAATGGTTCAGAGGTTCATACCATGGCTAGAATGGTTTGGAGATTCATACCATGGCTAGAATGGTTGGGAGATTCATACCATGGCTAGAATGGTTCAGAGATTCATACCATGGCTAGTAGAATGGTTCAGAGGTTCATACCATGGCTAGAATCGTTCGGAGGTTCATACCATGGCTAGAATGGTTCAGAGATTCATACCATGGCTAGAATGGTTGGGAGGTTCATATCATGGCTAGAATGGTTCAGAGATTCATACCATGGCTAGAATGGTTCGGAGATTCATACCATGGCTAGAATGGTTCGGAAATCTCACTGTGGAAGACTTAATTTTATTTGTGTGTGTTAAATACAAGTTGGTCTTTCTAGTCACACTTACCATCAGTTATTTTTGAATAAAAAATATACTCTTCTTCTTCAAGTTCACCGGCTGTAAACTTCGACGGAAAGTTCTCATTGTTCGTCTACCTCTGGAGATTAGTTCCATTCCAGAACCTGAGTGTTGCATGCACATCTGTTTTACATATCTGACTTATTTGTATTCAGACTGCTGGTTCCTAGCCTCTCACGTGAATGTACTCCGACTTCGTAGGAAGCTTCCACTTAGTCGACTCTTATGATATGCTTGTTGGGGAGACAGTGGTTCTGTTCTTGTTTTTCCTGGGACCCACACAGGTGGGAAAAAAAGGGGTGGAAGGGAATATACAATTTGAAGTATGCAGCGGTTATATTTTCAAAATATTT